ATGGACAGACAGATGGACAGGTAGACAGACAGACAGATGAACAGAGACAGATGTACAGATAGATGGACAGGCAGATGAAAAGAAATAGAAAGACAGGACAGACAGATAGATGGACTGATGGACAGATGGACAGACAGGTGGATGGACAGGGACAGACAGATGAACAGAGACAGATGACAGACAGACAGACATGAACAGACAGAGAAGACAGAGACAGGCTGATGGATAGACAGACTGATAGACAGATGGAGAGAGACAGACAGGACAGACAGATGGACAAACAGGACTGACAGACATGGAGACACAGACAGATGGATTGGCAGACAGATGAACAGAGACAGAAGAGCAGACAGACTGGTAGATCGACAGAGACAGACAGACAGAAGGACAGACAGACAGATGGATGAACAGACAGAAACAGAAGATGGATGGACAGATGGACAAATAGACAGAGACAGAGGACAGACAGATGGGTAGACATACAGATGGATGGACAGATGGACAAACAGATGAACAGATAGATTGACAGACAGACAGATATACGAAGACAGACAGACAGAAGGACAGACTGACAGACAGATGGTCAAACAAAGACAGACAGATGAACAGCGACAGAAATACAGACAGATGGACAGATTGACAGACTGCTGGACAGATGGACAGAGACAGACAGACAGGCAGATGGACAGATAGGGACATACAGACAGAAGAACAGACAGATGGACAGACAGACTGACAGAAAGGTGACAGATATAGAAGGATAGACAGATGAACAGACAGAAACAGGCAGACACACACACAACCACAAAACAAAAACAAAAAACCAAGAAAACAAACAAAAAAAGACTAAAAGTAAAACTTATGAATTCAACTTTGAAAGAAAAAGAAGAAAAAAGAAGTAATCTGAAAGTCAGGTGGGAAGGAATGGGAGGATTGATGAGGTGGTAAGGGAAGGAGCTAAGAAAAGGTGTCTAAGTAAAAAATACATTGCATAAAGTTCTAAAGAAATTAATAAAACATTTTAAAATTCATTGAACAGTTACTCAGTTATTCTAAATATTCTCTTACTAGTTAAAAATAAAAATTCTGAAGAATTTTCCTACAATATTCAGTTTCTTAATTTCTTTTTAAATTACTGAGACATGTGCTTTAATACTTAAAACATTTCACAGTTATTATCATAAGCCAAACACATCACTATTAATTAAGAATGAATAACCCTGAGTTCAACTCTTAATATGCTTGGGCAGAAATCAGTGTAATCGGATATTGACATATGTTATCTTATCCTGAGCAGAGAGAAAAACCTCACTGGTCTTAGTTAACAATGACATTTTTTCAAAGAAAAAAAATCACATATATTGGATCTAAAATGCAATCACTTTAAAAGAGGTGTGTTAAAAAAAAAAACCATGCCACTGACTCTGGAATCATGAGAATTGGTGAACTGGCCCTGTCTATCACCTGCTGAACCACAGGGCCATTCACGTCACCTAGGCAGCACAGTAGAGATGACTCTGGTGGAAGAGGTGCAGATGAGCCATCCCTGAGAGCCAGAGCACTAGAGAGCTGGCTCTGCCACTCATCTGTCATTAGATGCGGTGGGTGTGGGGATGATGCCCTCTCCCTGCCCTCTTTCTACTTTTGATTGTTGGGAGAGCTATCCATGCTCCCATCCCCCATCACTGGCTATAGCACTCTGGGAAAGCACACCCTGCACCTCTCCTGGGCAATACAATTTAGCTGGTCCTTATAGAAGGTGAAGGCACAGGTGAGCTGGCCTAAGGGCATGAAAGCAGAAGAGCTGACTCTCCCTCCTGCTGATGGCAGCATTGGTTGTCCCAGCTGGAGTAGTGCTGGAGAGCTCACCCTGGTGGTGCAGATAAGGGAGGGCCAGAGTGCTGACCAGCTTGACTGCCACCAAGGCCCAGATCCGTGGTTCTGAGTTGGCTCACCCTAAAATCTATATCATCTGTAAATATTTGGGATGCATGAAATGGCCAGTCCTGCTGATCCAAAGCTGCAGGATCGACATGACACAGGGCAACTACAAGATGACTGGGAGTCTCAGTGAGAAACCAATATTAATGGTATCACAGAAACTAGAGATCTCAAACCAGACCAATGACTCATTGTAATGAACATTTACAAGTGAAGATGTGTAGACAGAGGGATATACTGTGTGACACACTGTGACAGTACAGTGTCCAAGATGAAGTGTTTTCTAAGTTTTTGTTTGGTTTGTGTATTTTTTTTTAATTTCGGGAAGAGGGTTGCAAGAGTGAAGGGAGGATATGAGGAGACAGGGAGATAAGTAGGACTGAAGTACATGATATGAAACAAGGAATCAATAAAAAGTTTAAAAAATAAGAAAGAATGAAAAGAGCAAAAAGAAAAAAAAACTCTTAAAAATGCCGCAACTTAAGTAGAATTAATAGATAAGCCACTAAATCAGTGTGCCAGCCTCTCTATTAATCAACACATTTTCTCTCTCCTCTTGTGAATCTCCTGCTCACAGAGTTCCGGGTTGCACTACCCAGAAGCCCCCCCCTTTTCATTTGTATCTGGATCAGGTTGTACAATTGCAATATCTTTGCACAAGATCGTGAAGTTGAAAAGAGGATCAGGGACATTATTTCCCAATGGCAGAGTGGATTTGAGGTTTCATGAAGTCTCCTTTAGAGGACTCCAGGAAGCATCTGCTTGGGCTATGGACACCAGGTCATCATGACATCATATACTGGAGTGATAGACTCTTGGCCTGTCAGGGATCTCATAAGCGTCTCACTTCCTTTTTCTTTGTAGGTCCTTGACTGACTTCTGTTTATTTGTTAACAGGTAATCAATAGATTTTTGAATATTTGCCCTGCACTGCCCTCCGAGTGTGTGTGTGTGTGTGTGTGTGTGTGTGTGTGTGTGTGAGAGAGAGAGAGAGAGAGAGAGAGAGAGAGAGAGAGAGAGAGAGAGAGAACAGACATTAGGTGTTGCTGTCTATTGCAGACACTATTTTCATTTTATAGATAACACGGAATCTCAAGTTGCATCCCCAAATAACAATGACTCTATTGTTCCCTTCTTGATGGTGCATACAAATTTTAAGTAACAAAACAAAACAAAACACCTCTAATGTTTATTTCTCACTCCAACCGCTATTGAACCCTTTGAAATAGCTGTAGCAGTGAGGGATGACTTTATTCAGAAAAACAGAAATTTAAAATTAGAAAAATTCAAAATCTAATGCTGTTCTCTTGACTCTTAGTGTACTAATGTTGGTACAAATCCACTATTACTGCCTTAGTTAACACTGTTTCATTAATACCAAGTACATGTTAACAGCATTTGAGAGCAAGAAAATAACCAAGTGTATGGTCCATTAAGCAAAGGAAAATACCATTAACTTATCATTAATCTGTGAAACTATATAT